ACCATCCCCCCAATGAAAAGCAGGGGTGTCACTAGCACGTTAAGAGACCATACATAAGTGTCAGGGCCCGAGACTGTTCAACTGCCTCCCAGCACACATAAGGGGGATTACCAACAGACCCCTGGCAGTCTTCAAGCTGGCACTGGACAAGCACCTAAAGTCAGTTCCTGATCAGCCGGGCTGTGGCTCGTACGTTGGTTTGCGTGCAGCCAGCAGCAACAGCCTGGTTGATCAGGCGCTGATCCACCAGGAGGCCTGGTCACAGACCGGGCCGCGGGGGCGTTGACCCCCGAAACTCTCTCCAGGTAAACTCCAGGTAAACACACACACGTCCCGGCCGGGGTATGGTTTGGTATGCTATGTGCACATAAAAGTACATTATGTATATTTAACTTAAGATAGACCAATAAAAGTCAAACACTGTGACTTATTTCTGATCAGCAGACATTTTCCAATTATATCACAAAAACCAAGTTGATAAAATTGGCATATTAAAATATACACAATTTAAACCCAGGGAAAAAGCCTCCATTGAGGAAAACATACCAGCAACAAAAATTTAAAGCCTAACAGAAGAACCATTCTAAAAGTTATTGCACATGATCCAAGAAAATTTGTTGTCGAGCTTTATAAAGTCATGACTTAATAATTCTCTACACAGAACTGGCAATGCTGGGTCGGCAGGGCAGCCCTCTGGGTCCTTGGCCTCTGACCTCACACACATTAATCGTCACTTGCATATTCCTCTCACTTACCCATCAGGCAATGGGTATGCAGGTATGCTGGATGATAGGTCTGTCCTTTCTGCGTTCTGTGATGTCTGGGAGACGAGGTGGTGAACTCTCACTCTTAAAAGAGTAAACGTTGCAATACTGTGGCCGGAACACCTATGATATAACTTACGTTGGACAGAAAACCAAAGTTATTTCCGTCCATCCTGGACCGTTAGAACGGACCATAAGCTAAAACGTCGTCGTCTGAAGTCCAGAGTATAATAATAATAATAATAATAATTATTATTATTATTATTATTAAGTAATATTAATATTATTTCAGCATGCTACAATGTTTATATAGAGATGTGTGACATTCAGGTGTGCACGCAGAAAGCCCATAGTTTTGCAGAGCATTTCGGGTTATTTGAGAGGTCTTACTCTATAAATGTGGTCCCTTTCTCTTTGAACTGGACTCATGACCTGGATGGCGTCACTGTACAACGGGACTCATGACCTGGGAGGCGTCACTGTACAGCGGGACTCATGACCTGGGAGGCGTCACTGTACAGCGGGACTCATGACCTGGATGGCGTCACTGCACAAGACTCGTGACCTGGATGGCGTTATCATACCATACCCTCTACAGCTGTTGTTCAGAGCTGAATAACCCTCACAGGTTTAACACTTTTACTGGGTATAAAAAGAATATATTACAATTAGGTTTGGATATGAGCAGGACTTGCCTAGTATAGGCCAGTAGGCCTGTTTAAGTGTTCCTCCACTCTTATATTTTTGAAATCCCGATGAAAAAATTCCTTACACTAATGTTGGACACAAGCAGTTACAGTATTATTCTTTCCTGAGCCACTCAGAGGGCTCGATAGGACATAGACTGAAAGAATACGACCTGGAGCAAGGAGCCATAGATGGAAGGTAAAGTCTCAAGTGAGTCACACAGCTGCCAGAAAGTACTTCAGCCTGAGAGAAGTTAGGTTGTGGAAAATATGGACGAGGATTTGCTGGAAGTTCATGCACCATTTTAAAGAGTGTGATGGCTAGCCGTGTGACCATAGTCGCCATGGGAGGCCAGGAGCCGAGACGACCTTAACAAATAAGTTATGTGAATACTTGCAAATGATGCTTTTCCATTATCTACCTGGAGTTCATTACCTTTGTACCTTGTTCAGCTATGAAAACTTTGGGACCCAGTCCCTGGGCCCATTATGTGCCTCTGTAATCCTTTGAATACCGCCCACAGGATGGGTATGGGGTGCATTATAGATATTAAACTAAAAAAAAAAACTAACCATTGGAAAGTTTTCCTGGATAAATAACTCAACCTCTGAAGAAATAACTTGTACACCTAACACAGTGATACTGTACTATCCTGCACAGTCATCAACAAACACCAGTTGTTTACAGGTGATTCCAACCTTTTGTCCACCAGACAACTGCGCGTGCATGAAATTCATAATGATTTATATTTACCAAATACAGAAACTGTTTTTAAAAGGACTTAACTGCAGTAATCACATGTGGCAATATCATCGAATCCTTTGCAACATCACGGAAATCGCGATAATGCATATTTTACGTAGAAAAATAAATGATACAGCCTTATCTTGTATGTAAATATTAGTGGAGTGAGCAAGAGAGGTTTGGCAACTCTAACAGTGAAGAAGGTAAACAGTGAACTGTGCTGGAGTGGTGGTCAGTAGGTGGCTACACTGCAAGGGGAGTGTGTGTACCGTCACTTTTCTCCAATAATCCACCATTTTTGGCACTGTCCAAAATGCCGAACTGTCCCAAGTGTAGCAAGCCAGTGTACTTCGGTGAGTTTCCTCTATGCTATGTTCTGTTTTAAAGCTAAAATCAAACGATATAGGTCGAGATATCTAATCTTATGTTATAGTGGGAAGTTTCTCTATTTGCATTATTTTCATCGCATTGGTTGTTTTATTTTGGACTGTTTCGAGGTTGCAAGAACCAATGATGTAGGCAAGGCGATGATAGAAGTCTCACCCGGTGTGCATGACTTATGGGTGTGCATCTGTGTACACATACTGTATATAGCTGCCTGGGTGGGTGTGTCTGTGTGCACGTATGTTTAGCCGGTGAACCCCCTGATCAAACATTCCTGTCAGCGCCTTGATCAGCTACACTGTTGGTGCTCGCTACACACAACTTCGACCTAAGCATCACAACCTAATTGAATGGAAATTTCCTTCAGGAACTTGTGAAGTTTCTTCTTGAAGACCCCAAAGGGGTACCATAAATTTAAATCGTCTGAATTTATATTTTTACATTTAATGTTTATAACTTGAGAACACCAGATTAGATTGGCATCAAATTTTCTCCATTGATGTATTGTTACTAGGGGGTAAGTTAGTGCAACTACTGCAGTGCAGGTGCCCTCTGTGAGGGGCTCTTGATCCAAGGAAATCGACCTGCCCTCCTCTTCCTTAGATCGAACCTGAATGCCTCCTATTCCTTCCCTAAGTGCTGCATGACCCCTATGTATTTAGTGCTTCCCAGGAATGTAACAATATCCTGAAAAAAACGTTCTTCTGATCAGCCTCAAACTTTAATGCTGATGCACCTTATGGACAGAATGGTACCCATTAATTTACACTTTGTAGATGCAAATTTGACAGTTTAGTTAAATTTGGAATTGTTGGACCCTGAGCAACAGCTGAAGAATGCCTCTGCTGATCTGCTTCAAATTTTCAATTATGGTGAACTTTGTTCAAAGGAAGGGTCAAACTGATTTTGATCTTTAATTTTACAGTTTTATCATACAAATTGGCTTCCATGCAACAGCCGAAAAATGCCTTAATTAATCGGCTTCAGAGTTAGTTTAAGTTTAGTTAGTTTAATATGTTTATTATGCACCCCATACCCATCCTGTGGGCGGTAGTCAAAAGATTACAGAGGTACATAATTGGTCCAGGGACTGGACTCCAAAGTTTTGATAGCTGATAGGTTTTTGCATCTTAAACATTTTTTTTCAATTGATCTTGGGCAGTATAGGCGTTAGTTTTCAAGTTTTATTAAAGAAATTGCAAAAAATTGGTTTTCATATAATAATTTGTGAATGCCTCATCTGATCACCTTAAACTCTTCAACATCGCTAACTTGAGAATGTAACTTCTGACCGGCTTCAAACTTAACGTGCTGTATTTGAGATACTAGAGAATGCGTCTTCTGACTGGCTCTAAACTTTCGACGCTTGGTTCATGTTGGACTGTGTAGGTACCACTTTGCCATTTTTATTGAAGTTAGGATATTAGTATCAGTGGGATAACTTGTAAATGCCTCTTCTAATTTGCTGCTTCAAATTTTCGATGCTGCACCAGTTCCATTCCTTTTTCGTGCATTGAGGTAGAAAAGCTTAGGTTTATGTGATACGGGGATACCTTTATGGGATAGAACAGCAACCGATGTAGGTGAGTACGAAACGTGTGAATATAAAAACACATGGGATCCAAATAAAAAAAGGTACAATAAGGGTTTTTGGGGGCAAAGGAAAAAACAATCTAGTAGCGATCAGCGAAGAGGCGGGGGCCCGGTTAACGACTCCTGCAACCCCAAAAAGACACGGTTAAAACAGAGCTGTGAATCGACCACTCGAAACCCAAAAGGGGAACCATAAACCCCCGCCGGATTGAAGGGCCTAAGTTCCCAAAATACCCGCCGGTTTTTGAATCGGCTTGATTTTTTAATCATCATAGTAAATACCACACTGAATGTTTTTTTTGATAAAAAAAAACCAAAAAAGGGAAACAAAAGCCAAGTCCCCCTTGGGGGCCCGGGGAAAAGTATGTTTTCCTAATTGAATTTGGTTCTAAATGAATTTCCGCAAAACAGGCGGTAAAAAGAAGAAAAACCCACCCTTAAAAAAGGAAAAAAAAACGCATTTGGGGTTCTCTCCGCCTTCTTCCGGGTTTTCCCCCCATGACCTAGAAAGAAAAACGAAAGCTTTTCTTTTTAAAATCAGTAATTTATTCAGAAGGGGTTACTAGCCCATTTTAGTCTCCTCTCACGACACGCATGGCTTACGGAGGAAGAATTCTTTTCTACTTCTCCATGTAGATAAGAGGAAACAAAGGAAAACAAAAACTATTAAGAAAATAAAGAAATTCCAGTATATATATATATATATATATATATATAATATATATATATATATATAATATATATATATATGGTGTGTGTGCACTGATCAGCATACTAAATTACATATTTTGATCAGCAACAACAGCAATGGTAACAGCAGGAAAAGCAGAATGAGGCGCAGCAGCAGGCGGGGATTGCAACATGGAGTAAGAGGGAGGCCAGATGGTGGAAGGAGGGGTCTAGGTCAGTGCTTTCTCATGAGCTGCTGTACCATCTGCTGTGTTCCTACACTATCTGCTGTGTACCTGTACCACTTGAGGGTACCTGCACCACCTGAAGGGTACCTGCACCACCTGGGAGTACCTGCTGGTACGTAAATAGTTGATGTAGGTAAGGGTAAGAGGCAGAGAAGGCCACGTCACTCAATTGTTAAACTGGAAATATCTTGCAGATTTAAGGGAGGAATGTCCGACTCTACTAAGAGACCTGACCTTAGTTGTACCGCCTGAGCAGCTAGTCTATTGTGCACCCAATACTCGCATTGTGAGAGGTAGCGCAAAACGAATAAGGCTTACAGAGATCTCGCTGTATCTTTATCAAACGCCATTAAGCATTGTTGTATTAACATTATAGTCATTTCATATATTACAGTTACTTTATGTAACTAATATACACCATACAATATGGGCATACAATCTCAAGAAAATCACTCGTCATTTTTTTTGTTGGTCTCACTAAAAATCGTTTCATGTATTCGATGCAAAATGTGGATATATCAAGGTTTCAGATATTAACAACGAAGTGGTTTTCCATATCCTGTAGCGTTTGCATGGAGGTGTGTCTGCAAGGATGATGTTTGGACACTCAGTATTCCAGAGTATAGCCATCTCTCTCTACACTCTGCAGATATCAATGGCATCTCCATCCAAATTTCTGGCATTCCTCCCATTGTGCCTGCCTAGTAGCCTTCCCGCCTGCATGGCAACATTCTCGCTCTTTGGATTGCCACACAGGCCTGAAACAGTAAAGTGACAGCCCATGGGCCTGTGGTAGTTAGGTGTAGTTTTCCGACCATAGGTATGTATTAGTTAGGTGTTGCAACAAGATCACGATAAACAAGTGATATTGTGGAAAAAGTAAACTTCCAAGCACTTTCGTGATTTCTTACAACACAGTTGTGTTTTCCAAACCTTAAGTCAGGCTGAATTAAGGCAGGGGCTTTAGGGGCTGCAGCGCAGGGGCCTCCGCCAGCTAGAGGGCCTCCGCCAGCTAGAGGGCCTCCAGACATTAAGTAAAAAGTGTTCACAATTTGTTTCTAAGAAATTACGCAAAGCAAATGTTTGAATTTTAAGTGTGGTTAGCACTGTAAAAATTTAATATTTCTTTAAGTTTTTGCCTTTTAAAAATATCACTGGGAACCTCACAGTACCTGTAGCCCAGGGGCCTCACAGTACCTGTAGGCCAGGGGCCTCACAGTGCCTGTAGCCCAGGGGCCTCACAGTGCCTGTAGCCCAGGGGCCTCACAGTGCCTGTAGCCCAGGGGCCTCACAGTACCTGTAGCCCAGGGGTCTCACAGTACCTGTAGCCCAGGGGCCTCACAGCACCTGTAGCCCAGGGGTCTCACAGCACCTGTAGTCCAGGGGCCTCACAGCACCTGTAGCCCAGGGGTCTCACACACTGAGCCCAGGCCCACAGCACCTGTAGCCCAGGGGCCTCACAGTACCTGTAGCCCAGGGGCCTCACAGTACCTGCAGCCCAGTGGCCTCAGTACCTGTAGCCCAGGGGCCTCACAGTACCTGTAGCCCAGGGGCCTCACAGTACCTGTAGCCCAGGGGCCTCACAGTACCTGTAGCCCAGGGGCCTCACAGTGCCTGTAGCCCAGGGGCCTCACAGTGCCTGTAGCCCAGGGGCCTCACAGTACCTGTAGCCCAGGGGTCTCACAGCACCTGTAGCCCAGGGGCCTCACAGCACCTGTAGCCCAGGAGCCTCACAGCACCTGTAGCCCAGGGGCATCACAGCACCTGTAGCCCAGGGGCATCACAGCACCTGTAGCCCAGGGGCATCACAGCACCTGGGTTAGTCCCAGGGGCATCACAGGCCCTGTAGCCCAGGGATCTCACAGTACCTGTAGCCCAGGGGTCTCACAGTACCTGTAGCCCAGGGGTCTCACAGTACCTGTAGCCCAGGGGCCTCACAGTACCTGTAGCCCAGGGGTCTCACAGTACCTGTAGCCCAGGGGTCTCACAGTACCTGTAGCCCAAGGGCCAACAAAATCTTAAACCGGCTCTGCCTTAGGTAAATATTAGCTAGGTATTGTTTACCTAACATGGGTATTTTTCAGTTATGTGTCTCTAAACTTAAGAAAACTTAACCTAAAATGAAGAAAACAGGGAGAAAAGATTTGTCCCTGTATTGAGGCCATGGTGGTGGAGGTCAACACACTGTGTTAAGTTCAAACATGGTAAGAGCCCACATAAAAATTAAATGAATGTTTTGCTTCGTTGGTCGAGTTAAATCCGGATGCAAGATTAACGTGTGTGTGCTTCTTGTCATGTAAGTATAAATAATAATAATATAATTAATAAAGTTTGAGTACCTCCCTCCTTGCTTTTTTATCGTTGTCCTGTATTTTATTTGAGGATGATAGGCAAGTTTTTTTTATTTCTTCCTCTCCTCACACATGTTTGTAAGCAACGTATTACGAGTGTTTCTGTGAAATATTAAAACGTCAGTAACCATACATTCACTGCACGTCCACACATTTACTGAGCCTGCACTTTGTACCTCTACAGCTGAACGGAAGACCTCCCTGGGTAAGGACTGGCACTCGTTCTGCCTCAAGTGTGAGAAGTGTAGCAAGACTCTGACTCCAGGTAGCCATGCTGAACACGAGGGCAAACCTTACTGCACCACACCCTGTTATGGTGCCCTCTTTGGTCCAGGAGGTGAGTATTGGTGTGTGTGTGTGTGTGTGTACTCACCTAGTTGAGGTTGCGGGGGTCGAGTCCGAGCTCCTGGCCCCGCCTCTTCACTGATCGCTACTAGGTCACTCTCCCTGAGCCGTGAGCTTTATCATACCTCTGCTTAAAGCTATGTATGGATCCTGCCTCCACTACATCGCTTCCCAAACTATTCCACTTACTGACTACTCTGTGGCTGAAGAAATACTTCCTAACATCCCTGTGATTCATCTGTGTCTTCAGCTTCCAACTGTGTCCCCTTGTCACTGTGTCCAATCTCTGGAACATCCTGTCTTTGTCCACCTTGTCAATTCCTCTCAGTATTTTGTATGTCGTTATCATGTCCCCCCTATCTCTCCTGTCCTCCAGTGTGTCGTCAGGTTGATTTCCCTTAACCTCTCCTCGTAGGACATACCTCTTAGCTCTGGGACTAGTCTTGTTGCAAACCTTTGCACTTTCTCTAGTTTCTTCACGTGCTTGGCTAGGTGTGGGTTCCAAACTGGTGCCGCATACTCCAATATGGGCCTAACGTACACGGTGTACAGGGTCCTGAATGATTCCTTAATTAAGATGTCGGAATGCTGTTCTGAGGTTTGCTAGGCGCCCATATGCTGCAGCAGTTATTTGGTTGATGTGCGCTTCAGGAGATGTGCCTGGTGTTATACTCACCCCAAGATCTTTTTCCTTGAGTGAGGTTTGTAGTCTCTGACCCCCTAGACTGTACTCCGTCTGCGGCCTTCTTTGCCCTTCCCCAATCTTCATGACTTTGCACTTGGTGGGATTGAACTCCAGGAGCCAATTGCTGGACCAGTCTGCAGCCTGTCCAGATCCCTTTGTAGTTCTGCCTGGTCTTCGATCGAGTGAATTCTTCTCATCAACTTCACGTCATCTGCAAACAGGGACACCTCAGAGTCTATTCCTTCCGTCATGTCGTTCACAAATACCAAGAAACAGCACTGGTCCTAGGACTGACCCCTGCGGGACCCCGCTGGTCACAGTGCGCACTCTGACACCTCGCCACGTACCATGACTCGCTGCTGTCTTCCTGACAAGTATTCCCTGATCCATTGTAGTGCCTTCCCTGTTATCCCTGCTTGGTCCTTTCCCGTTTTTGCACCAATCTCTTGTGTGGAACTGTTCAAACGCCTTCTTGCAGTCCCAAGAAAATGCAATCCACCCACCTCTCTCTCTTTGTCTTACTGCTGTCACCATGTCATAGAACTCCAGTAGGTTTGTGACACAGGATTTCCCGTCCCTGAAACCATGTTGGCTGCTGTTGATGAGATCATTCCTTTCTAGGTGTTCCACCACTCTTCTCCTGATAATCCTTCTCCATGATTTTTGCATACTATACATGTCAGTGACACTGGTCTGTAGTTTATGCTCAGTCTGTCTCCTTTTTTAAAGATTGGGACTACATTTGCTGTCTTCCATGCCTCAGGCAGACACTGGTCTGTAGTTTAATGCTTCATGTCTGTCTCCTTTTTTAAAGATTGGGACTACATTTGCTGTCTTCCATGCCTCAGGCAATCTCCCTGTTTCGATAGATGTATTGAATATTGTTGTTAGGGGTACACATAGCGCCTCTGCTCCCTCTCTCAATACCCATGGGGAGATGTTATCTGGCCCCATTGCCTTTGAGGTATCTAGCTCACTCAGAAGCCTCTTCACTTCTTCCTCGGTTGTGTGTACTGTGTCCAGCACTTGGTGGTGTGCCCCACCTCTCCGTCTTTCTGGAGCCCCTTCTGTCTCCTCTGTGAACACTTCTTTGAATCTCTTGTTGAGTTCTTCACATACTTCACGGTCATTTCTTGTTGTCTCTCCTCCTTGTGGTGTTGGTGTGTGTGTGTGTGTGTGTGTGTTGTGTGTGTGTGTGGTGTGGTGTGTGTGTGTGATACATTAATCGGGCACGGGTTAAACTAAGGGAAATGAAACTTGAAGAGCAGATCAGTTGTCATATATTTCCTATATTGTCTTAAAAACCCACTTAGCTGTCTCTCATTAATAATTAATAATAATAATCTTTATTTACTACAAGTTGTACATGTACAAGGTATACAGGCCTAGCCGACATCAATATATACTATATCAAAAGTCCCTTGTTATGCAGAGAATTTCAGGGAAATTAGGTCGGTTTTATCCTCAGGATGCGACCCACACCAGTCGACTAACACTCAGGTACCCATTTACTGATAGATGAACAGGAACAGCAGGTGTCTTAAGGAAACACTCCCGAATGTTTTTTTCATCCGTACCGAGGATCGAACCACGGACCTCAATGTGTGAATTGAGTGCTCTTATTTACCCCGCGGCGAGGTACCCCAAGCAAGACAGTGACCCACATCATGTATCAGGCTGCCAATAGTGACCCTCACCATGTTTGAAAAAGCCAGTAATGACCGTCACCAGCACCACTGGGGCCTCCTGTGCCAGTCGTGTTTCTTAAAGACGCCATAGGTCGTTTATCGGGCTTACGATTGTCGCATCCTGTAGTCGTATGTTTCTAAACACAGTTGCCAGGGGTTATCCGCTCGGCAGGACACTTATGTTATTCAGGTAGTTAAGGCCTATATATACAGGCTCCATCTCTCTTTTCTGTTACTGTGACTTTGTAAATGGTCCAAGTCGGACCGAAACGTCTTCGTAAGTTCCTCTCTCATATGTGCGGGTTATTAGTGTAGATCACCAAGTTAGTCAGGCAGGCCACTAAGTCATTCAAGTAGTCTACTACATTAGTCACGTAGTCTACTACATTAGTCACGTAGTCTACTACATTAGTCACGTAGTCTACTACATTAGTCACGTAGTCTACTACATTAGTCACCGTAGTTACTACATTGTCAGTAGCTACTACATTGGACTACTTACGTCAGTCTACTACATTAGTCACGTAGTCTACTACATTAGTCACGTAGTCTACGTAATTCAGATAAGCCACTACGTTAGTCAGGTAAGCTTTGACTTTTTTGGGTTATCCTGCTCAATTTACACATATGTTAGTAGGTATGACAATTGGACTTACTGTACCTGTACCTAGGTAAACCTACTAAGTTATTCACTATTGTACTGCGCCTTAATTGTGTCTGGTGAGTGTGTGTGTGTGCACATCCTGCTGTAGTACTCTCTGGTCTTTGACGTCAGTACAGCTCTCAGAGTGTACGGAACATATTTAACTATGTAGTTGAATATTAAAATGGTATAAAATACTGACAGGTATTCAAGTGATGGACTGATTACATCGTCTTCACATCTCTTTTGCTCCTACCAACTTTTCTGTACTTGACTGAAGAAGCCTACTGTGTAGGCGAAAACGTTTCGAAATAAAAAGGGAAACAACTGGTTGCAATAAGTGCTACTAACAGAACGTAGTGATTGAATGTGCTGCAATACTTTGAGGTATTGAAGGGAGGTACAAGAGTAAGAAAATAAATGGTGGAATGACGAGTAATAAGGGAGGGTACAGGAGTAAGAGAAATGACTGGTGGAATGACGAAGTAATAAGGGAGGGTACAGAGAGTAAGAGAAATAACTGGTGGAATGACGAGGTAATAAGGGAGGGTACAGGGAGTAAGAGAAATGACTGGTGGAATGACGAGGTAATAAGGGAGGGTACAGGGAGTAAGAGAAATGACTGGTGGAATGACGAGGTAATAAGGGAGGGTACAGGGAGTAAGAGAAATGACGAGGTAATAAGGGAGGGTACAGGGAGTAAGAGAAATGACTGGTGGAATGACGAGGTAATAAGGGAGGGTACAGGGAGTAAGAGAAATGTCTGGTGGAATGACGAGGTAATAAGGGAGGGTACAGGAGTAATAGAAATACTGGTGAATGACGAGGTAAATAAGGGAGGGTACAGGGAGTAAGAGAAATGACTGGTGGAATGACGAGGTAATAAGGGAGGGTACAGGGAGTAAGAGAAATGACTGGTGGAATGACGAGGTAATAAGGGAGGGTACAGGGAGTAAGAGAAATAACTGGTGGAATGACGAGGTAATAAGGGAGGGTACAGGGAGTAAGAGAAATGACTGTGGAATGACGAGGAATAAGGGAGGGTAAAGGGAGTAAGAGAAATGACTGGTGGAATGACAGGTAATAAGGGAGGTTACAGGGAGTAAGAGAAATGACTTGTGAATGACGAGGTAATAAGGAGGTGTACAGGAGTAAGAGAAATGACTGGTGGAATGACGAGGTAATAAGGGAGGGAAACAGTAAGAGAAATGACTGGTGGAATGACGAGGTAATAAGGGAGGGTACAGGTAGTAGAGAAATGACTGGGTGAAATTACGAGGTAATAAGGGAGGGTACAGCGAGTAAGAAAAATAACTGTGGAAAGACGAGTAATAAGGGAGATTACAGGGATAAGGGAAAGTGACGAGGTAATAAGGAGGGTACAGGGAGAAGAGAAATAATTACTGGTGGAATGACGAGTAATAAGGGAGGGTACAGGAGTAAGAGAAATGACTGTGGAATGACGAGGTAATAAGGGAGTGGTACAAGGGAGTAAGAGGACATACTGGTGGATGATCGAGGTAATAAGGAGGGTTACAGGGGAGTAAGAGAAATGACTGGTGGACTGACGAGGTAATAAGGGAGGTACAGGGAGTAAGAGAAATGACGGTGGAATGACGGAGGTAATAAGGGAGGGTACAGGAGTAAGAGAATGACTGGGTGAATGACGGAGGTAATAAGGGATGCTAAACAGGGAGTAAGAGAAATGACTGGTGGAATGACGAGGGTAATAAGGAGGGTAAAGGGAGTATGAGAAAATGACTGGTGGAATGAACGAGGTAATAAGGTCGATAATTCAGATGTGAAGTACATTTTTTATATTATAAAACTATATAAACAGAGACTGGGGAGTATAGAGAGGAAGAGAGACCTAAATAAATAATGGAACTATTAAAAAGAACAATTTTCGTATTCAGGGAAGCGCTAAAGCCATAAGGGTCATACAGCAATTTAAAATCCAAGGAAGACGAGGGTCG